ATGGCAAACTTTCATCTAGCATTAGCAGATGAAGTATTGTCAAGCATCGAGGAGAAGAAAGACAACTAAAGAGATATGAGATCATCTCACCAAATTGTACGAGGCCACATCGTTGCACAATAAAATTTTCCTTAAAAGGAAATTGTACACTCTTCGTATGCCAGAATCTACTTTAGTGACAGAGCACTTAAATACACTGAACACCTTATTTTCTCAGCTTACATCCTTAAGATGTAAAATAGGAGAACAAGAACGTGTTGAACTTCTACTTCAAAGTCTACCGGATTTGTATAATCAACTCATCATCAACTTGACAAATAGTAATGTCACCAGTCTAGTATTCGATGACGTTGCAGCTGCTGTTCTACAAGAAGAAAATTGGCGCAAGAACAAGGAAGACAGACAAGTAAATCTGCAACAAGCAGAAGCGTTGACAACGACGAGAGGGAGATCAACAGAACGTGGCCAAAGCAGCAGTCACAAATATGGTAGATCGAAGTCCAGAAGCAAAAAGAATTTAAAGTGCTACCACTGTGGAAAGAATGGTCACTTGTAGAAGGATTGTTGGAGTCTCAATAAAAACTCCAATCCACAAGGTAATACCGCAAACACTTCAGATGATGGAGATGCTCTATGCTGTGAAGCGTCAACTACCGTGGAAGGCAGAAAAAGATTTGCAGATATATGGCTCATTGATTCAGGAGCAACATATCACATGACCTCAAGAAGAGAATGGTTCCATCATTATGAACCTGTCTCAGGAGGATCTGTCTATAGTTGCAATGATCATGCCTTAGATATCGTTGGCGTGGGAACCATCAAATTGAAGATGTATGATGGAACAATTAAAGTTGTTCGAGATGTGCGGCACGTGAAAGGCGTGAAGAAAAATTTATTATCCTACGGATTGTTGGATAATAATGCAAGCAAGATTGAAACACAGAAAGAAATCATGAAGGTGTTCCGTGGAGCGCTTGTGGTGCTGAAAGGCGAAAAGATAGCTGCAAACTTGTACATGCTGAAGGAAGAGACTTTGCTAGAAGCAGAAGCCTCTGTTGCCTCATGTAGTTCAGATTCTGCAATGCTATGGCATAAGAAACTTGGACAAATGTCAGAACAAGGAATGAAAGTCCTTGTGGAGCAAAAGTTACTTCCCATCTTAACAAAGGTATCACTTCCTTTGTGTGAGCATTGTATAACAATTAAGCAACACCAGTTGAAATTCAACACATCAAATTCTAGAGGCAAAAGTGTTCTAGAATTGGTTCACTCTGACGTATGGCAAGCACCGGTCACATCCCTAGGCGGAGCAAAATACTTTGTCTCATTTATTGATGACTACTCCAGGAGATGTTGGGTGTACCCTATTAAGAAGAAGTCAGATGTGTTTGCAACTTTCAAAAACTTCAAAGCGCGGGTGGAACTTGATTCTGGAAATAAGATCAAGTGTTTCAGAACAGATAATGGAGGAGAATACACAAGCGAAGAATTTGATGACTTTTGCAAGAGAGAAGGCATCAAAAGACAGTTCACAGTGGCGAACACTCCTTAACAAAATGGAGTGGCAGAGCGGATAAATAGAACCTTGTTAGAAAGAACACGAGCAATGTTGAGGGATGCAGGCCTAGAAAAATCATTCTGGGCATAAGCAGTCAATACCGCATGTTATTTGGTGAATCGAGCTCCATCAACTGCAATAGAGCTGAAGACACGAATGGAGATGTGGACTGGTAAACCAGCTGATTATTCAAACCTCCATGTATTTGGAAGTATTGTGTACGTGATGTACAACTCCCAAGAAATTTCGAAGTTGGATCCAAAATCCAGGAAATACAAATTCTTGGGGTATGCTGATGGAGTAAAGGGGTATCGCTTGTGGGATCCCACTACCCGCAAAGTGATCATTAGCAGGGATGTTATCTTTGTAGAAGATAAGCTACAAAGAAAAGAAGACGATGCTAGCGCTGAAAAGTCAGAGACTACTCATATACATGTGGAAAAGGAGGTTGAACAAGGAGATTCTTCTGAAGCAGAACCAGCTCATGATGAACAAGAACTAGAGAGTTCTGATGCTCCAATAACTCGTCAATCAGATCGTGTGAGAAGACATCCCAATTGGAACTCAAATTATGTTATAGAAGGTAATATTGCATACTGCCTTTTAACAGAGGACGGTGAGCCATCAACATACCAGGAGGTAATAAACAACTCAGATGCTTCATTATGGATGATGGCGATGTAAGAAGAAATCGAAGCCCTTCATAAAAATAATACATGGGACCTTGTGCCACTACCACAAGGAAGGAAGCCAATTGGTAACAAATGGGTCTTCAAAATCAAGCGAAATGTTGACGATCAAGTGGAGAGGTACCGTGCAAGACTGGTGGTCAAAGGATATGCTCAAAAAGAAGGTATTGATTTCAATGAAATTTTTTCTCCTGTGGTTCGACTAACAACAGTTCGAGTACTCTTGGAAATGTGTGCTACATTGAACTTACATCTAGAGCAGCTAGATGTTAAAACAACTTTTCTTCATGGAAATCTTGAAGAAGAGATTTATATGCTCCAGCCTGAAGGTTTTGAAGAAAAAGAAAAGAAGAACTTGGTTTGCAGGTTGAACAAATCTCTGTACGGTCTAAAGCAGGCGCCGAGGTGTTGGTATAAGATATTTGATTCCTTCATTATGTGCCTTGGATACAACAGACTTAATGCAGACCCTTGTGCTTATTTCAAGAGGTCTGGTGATAACGATTTTGTTATATTGCTGTTGTATGTGGATGACATGTTGGTTGCAGGACCCAACAAAGATCATATTGAAGAATTAAAGGCACAACTGGCTAAGGAATTTGAAATGAAGGACTTGGGATCAGCAAACAAGATTCTAGGGATGCAAATTCACCGAGACAGAAGTAATAGGAAGATTTGACTTACACAAAAGAATTACTTGAAGAAGATCTTGTCACGATTCAGCATGCAATATTGTAAGCAAATCTCTACCCCTCTTCCTATTAACTTCAAATTATCCTCCAGTATGAGTCCTAGCAGTGAAGAAGAGAGGATGGAGATGTCTCGAGTACCGTATGCATCAGCAGTGGGAAGTTTAATGTTCACTATGATATGCACAAGACCAGACATTGCACAAGCAGTGGGAGTGGTTAGTCGGTACATGGCGAATCCAGGCAAAGAGAATTGGAATACAGTAAAGAGGATCCTGAGATACATCAAAGGGACCTCAAATGTTGCATTATGTTACGGAGGATCAAACTTACTAATCAATGGGTATGTAGATTCTTACTATGCAGGGGATTTGGATAAAAGCAAATCTACAACAGGATATGTGTTCAAAATTGCTGGTGGAGCTGTAAGCTGTGTTTTTAAATTGCAGTCAGTTGTGGCTACATCCACAACACAAGCAGAATATGTAGCAGCTACACAAGCCAGTAAAGAAGCAATTTGGTTGAAGATGTTATTGGATGAGCTTGGGCACAATCAAGAGTATGTCTCTTTGTTTTGTGACAGTCAAAGCGCCTTGCATCTAGCAAGGAATCCAGCATTTCATTCAAGGAAAAAGCACATACGAGTTCAGTACCATTTCATTCATGAAAAGGTGGAAGAATGGACAGTAGATATGCAGAAGATCCATACCAAAGACAACATAGCAGATTTCATGACGAAGGCGATCAACACTGATAAATTTACTTGGTGTCGATCCTCTTGTGGCCTGTCAGAGACGTAAGCAACATGATGGTACAAGGATAAGATTATGTCAACATCTTGCCACTGATGAATTTTGATGTGCGTCTGAAGAAACTAAGTTTGGAGTCAAGAAACAATATTGAAGATCCTTTCACAGAGGAGGAAGTCTGGTCAGCTATACAGTCAGCAGATGGTTCGAGAGCCCCAAGACCAGACGGTTTCAACCTGGAGTTCTTCAAGAAATTTTGGCTTGTGCTCAAGGATAAGATTATGTCCATGTTCAGTGAATTCTACAATGGAATACCATGTGATAGATCCTTCAACCATTCGTTCATCACGCTTATCCCAAAAAAGGAAGTTCCTGAATCCTGAGTGTGTGACGAATTTCAGACCCATTTCGCTAGTCGGAAGTATATACAAAATTGTGGCTAGAGTTTTGTCAAGGCGATTGGCAAAGTGTATCAACGAAGTGGTGGGAGAGGCTCAGTTCGCTTTCATTGCCAGTAAACAGATTTCAGACTGCGCTCTCATCGCCAACGAGCTCATAGACTACCTTTCTCGAAGGAAAAGAGAGGCGGTGGTTTTAAAAGCTTACTTCAAGAAGGCCTACGACTCGGTCGACTGGGAGTTCCTTGATCTGATTTTGAGATCCATGGGATTCGGAAAAAGGTGGAGGTTATGGATGAGGCTGTGCATCTTGACAGTTTCGATTTCAGTGCTAGTTAATGGCTCCCCTTTTAAGATCAAGAGAGGGCTCCGTCAGGGATGCCCTTTATCCCCCTTGCTTTTTAATTTTGTGGGTGAAGCCTTAAGTGGTTGTTTTAGAAAGGCTGAAGAAGTCGGTGTGATCAAGGGTGTTAGAGTGGGAGCAAGTGGGGTAAGCCTGTCTCACCTCCAGTTTGCCGATCGTTTTTTGGATGGAAAGTTAGATTATTTGAGAAATGCGAAGAGGGTTTTAAGATTGTTTGAGATTGCTTTGGGTTTAAGTTTGTAATAAGCTAACTCATCTTGGGTTGTGAAATAGTAATAAGCTAGGGTTTCTTTAGCTTTCCTTTTTCTGCTTGTCAAATTAAAACTTTAAAAAAGTCACTTTAATCATTTTTGAAAAATAGTTACATCTGTACCTATACACCACGAGACTAGTTATTACTATCAAAATTATTTTGAATAATATGAGATAATTATAATATATTATTTATTTAAAAATTTTCTTAATTATTTACAAAACATACATCATGTTTGATAAAATAATTAGCATGACAAAGTGAAAACAAAGCTGCAGCTTGAAGATCTGTAATCGATCGATTGATGCAACATTGTTTCCCTCAAAACAAAGTAAAAACACAACACGTGGACCGAAGATAGTCTTTTTCCTGCTACATGTCATCCGTTGCTATTTTTTCACTGCAAAAAAAAACCCAGAAGGAAAAAGAAAGCATGTCAACCATTTGTTCTTAAACGTGTGTTATTTTGAAGCCTATGCAATAAACCAATATGTAAAAACAACCGTAGCAATATTGTCATGTGAGCAGCCTTATCAAAATCGCCTTCCTCTCGTGCCTTGATTATATTAAACATGAGACACAGACGAATTTGGGTAGACGCACTTCGCTGGATCATCAACTGAATTTCTTCTTGTAAGACTTCACACTCCATTCCCATTGCCCTAAGTTTCTCTCCTATTTGTGATTGTGCTTCTTTGATGCTCTTTTGCTCCTTTCTTATATCTTCCATCTCTCCCTTTAACTCTACTCTACATTTCGCCTTCACATGTCTCCTTCCCTTTTTCTTCCAAAATTACCATAAACAACTCATTAGGACTAGAAATTCAATATCAAGGAATGAATACAGTTATATTTACTATACCTTGTGCTTACTGGAACGAGCCTTGGACATTGTTATATTGGACGTACGTTGTTTCCTCTCGTTCGAAGTGATGTAGCGATGAAAACAATGAAGCAGAGAGCCATCATTTATATGAGGGAAAAAATATGATGGGGTCGTCTCTCGAATTACACAACTTTCGCATGGTTTTGTAGAGAAAGATGAACTGAGTCGCGCGATCATCGATGGTGTTACTTAATTTATTGTGTTTACTGCATGCTGCCGCCTTGTCGGACCTAAAAGGTTATTCTTTATGAAGAAACCGAGTCATCGCCGCGTCATACCTGGACGGATAGAGCCAAGAAACCGAAGCCAGTAGCATGCATTCACATGCTAAATGGAAGAGACTACTTTAATTTAAGAAAATTTATTTTTTGTTTTAAAAATTTTTTTAGCATGCCTAAATTGATAATAATAGTAGATGTTTCCATTAATGATGATACGGATCTAACTACCGGTTGGTTAAAAATAAGGGGTTCGCATCAAGCAGTAAATGGAACAACAATCGAGTTTATTTGCTTTAAAAAGAGGAAGTATGTTACAGCAACAACAATTGCTTAGTGATTAATATTTGCTAAAAAAAGAGGTTATTTGCTTAAGAGTTGGACAAGGCAGATCATTATAACGAGTATTGAATCACTCATGTACGGAACTTTAAATGATAATCCGCCTTTAAATGGTTGGTTAATTGAGTTTAAAATAGATATAGATGAATTTGTTCATAAACATAAAGAAATTAAATATATATTATTAGTGTTATTCTTATTTAATAAACGAGTATGAAGATTTTATTTTTATTTATTTATTTAATTAATTTAATAAATTAAAATAAACAAGCGAAGCAGAAGTATTCATCAAATATTTTGTTCTGGTCAAAATCGTATTTTGCATGAAGGCCTAAAAAATAAGCCACATACATGGGCTGGACTTAGATTAGACATAGGATGGATTAGCACCCTTTATGTTTTAATACGTACATCAACTTTGAGGAGCCCATTCGAGAACTGAACTTTAGCCTAACCAACAATATTAATATCAGCATAAATGGATTATAACTTTAAAAGTTATAAAGAAAGTAATGAATCAAGTACCACTAATCAAATACCATCAACTTATGTCAGTCTTAAACTATTTGTCTTAAGAATTCCGAAAACACAATTACTTGATGAAATCTAAACAACAGTGGAGGGCAGAAAGGAAGTGGTGTTGAAGAGACAAATAGCATTAACTATAGTAAAGAAACCTCCATGATTTGTGGCACTTAAAAGCTTTATCTTCTACCTTTCCCATGTATGAACAAATTTCCTCCTTAATCATCATTGTTTTTAGGCACAGTTAAGACTATTTAGGTTTCCATATATGCTATAATTGCGACATCGATATGGCATCAAATCTGATAATCCATTTTGACTGCAACTGCAAATGGCATTGGCATGCACAATCTACAGTACACTCAGAATTTAAAGCCTTCACCTAAAGGGAAAAAAGCTGAGAATTTTTTTCCCAAATTTGCAGCATGAATGTTGTCCTCAAATTCCCAAGTTTTGAAGAATCAATCTGATGGTGAAGGTCAACCCTATATACATAGTCTCTTTCCCCACACATATCCCCAAATGGGGTCCGACACTCCTCATTCCTGTGGCAGTAATTCCTAGGGCTTGTACCATAATCTTTTGTGGGACATCAAATGCTTGCAAGATAATCACTTTGTCGACCGACAAATCTTTGGGGATGATCCTTTGATTTGATCCAAGTTTCCTGCTTGATTCCAAGGCCTTGCATTTCAGCAACAGTTGGAGAATCATTCATTTCTTGAATTTGTACTTGGCTTGGATCCATCCACCAACACATTTTACCTCTCCCTCCCCTTCAAAGGACACGGTTTCGATATCTGCACTCGTTAGTAATTCGAGTTCGGTTTGAAAAATACTCGTTGCATTGAAATTTGAAAAGGACTTAACTTTTGCTGCTGAACAGAGAGGGAGGAACTGAAACACTTTCAAGTGGAAAAATAAAAGAGGCATTATTCATTAAGTTCATGTGGAAGAAAAAGACTAAACAAGCAGCAGCAGATACTTGTATCAAATTTAGTTTTCCATTTTAGTAGTAAGAATGAACTAGACAGCACCAGAGTCCAGCTTGAACCTTGTCCTTGTTGGATATGTAGCAAAATTTAGTTTGTACCCAAAGTCCCATTATGAACTTCCTAACTTTAAAGTTTCACTTGCACAACGAGTAGTGAGGGGACCTCTATATATTAGGCCAACTCAACTTTGCTTTGAAAATTTTGAATTCCTTATATATATATATATATATATATATATATATATATATATATATATATATATATCCCGTTAAACATATAAAGATATCAAAAGATTTTTTTTAATATAATTATTTGTATCCATCATGGGTCATCGATATCTAATTTATTAGTTTATTAATCTAAATCAAATTTTACAGAGGTTCATTATGAAATAACCGTCCAAATTTAACTTTTTTAATTCACAATATCATATTTAAACATGATCTTTAATTAATCATCCTATTACTCAATTTGACTGGCTACCTTGTGACACCCATTTGCAAGTCTAAACAAAAGAAAAGGAATATTTCCCAACCTTAAAAAGACGTAGAATAAGAGATGATTAGCCTTTTTTCTTTCTTTGTTTGACTTGGTTGCATTGAGATTCAAATACCCAAGGCTTTGTCATTTTGAGTCAACCATTAGTATGCACAAACACACTTGTCACTTGTATGCTTACCTCTCTAAATCATTTTACAATGCCTCCATAGGTGGACAAGTTCTCCCATCACATCCATTTACATGTTCCAAATTATCCTTGCAACATTTTTTTCTTCTCCAAACTCATTGAAACAACCTTAGATGACTTTCCACACCCTCGTGTTAACCATCATCGACCATGTACAAAATCCATGTGTCATAATGATTTCGAGGTATAAGCATCCCTGATAATCCAAAATAGTAACATCGATTATTTTTACTTAACCGTATATTTCGGTTGCACTGATTCAAGTGCCTTAATTATCAATCCTGAAAAGTCTATACTTATCAGTAGATTTAAAGTCGTACGATCCTAGGTGTGTGTCTATTACATGCTACAGCAATTTATTTATGTGATTTAATGTGTGTGTCTATTTGTATTCTAGTGCTAAAGTGTGAATGTGCCCTTATCATGCTACATGTGTTTGTTTGAATGATTTATTGTGTTATGGTATTTAATGTTATTGTAACCTCTTAATTATTGTGTTATATTTGAATTAAGGAAAATACGTAGTAAGGTAAGTCCATATCTTTGATTACTGATCTATGTTTCTCGTGTATCAGGATGATTCTATATATGATTGAGATGATAATACGGATATCGATACTGCAAGCACTATTACATGGCATATTGTTTGTTTGCATTGGTCGAGTTGTACATGAGAAGATTTTGGCGGTTTATCGCGTTGAGTCACAGCTCGCATTGTTTATTACTTCGGTTGACCCGTACAGTTATTTATTTAGATCAGTTCACACTAGGGGTGTGAACGAGCCGAGTCGAGCTCGAGGATCGCTGAGCTCGACTCGACTCGAAAACTCTAAAATGCAACTCGACTTGATTCGAAAACTCGCGAGCTTAAAATTTTTAATTTCGACTCGAACTCGAAATCCTGAATTGAAACTCGTGAACAGCTCGAAAAGGCTCGAAATAAAAAAATTCTTAAACTTAACTAGATTGAAGCCTCAAACTCGAACCTGAAACTTAAATACATGAAAGCCTTACTGTATTTTTAAAAAAAAAATCAACACATAAATGTGAATATTATTATTAATTAATTTAAAAAAAATAAAATCTTAATATATTATATTTTCGAGCTGCTCACGAGCTTTTTCAAGTCGAGTATCAAGTAACGCGTTTCGGCTCGTTAAGAATTCGAGTCGAGCTCGAGCTCGAGTCGAGTCCATTCGATCCGAATATTTATCGAGCCTTGACCGAGTCGATCTCGAGTAGCTCGTGATCTGTCTCGTCTCATTTACAACCCTAGTTCACACTAATGACAGCAAGGTTTCAAATCGCGGTCGCGGTTGCATTTTTTGTCATTTCATGTTTACCGTAATTGCGGTCATAGCAGGCACTATTGCGGCTAGGGCTGTAAATGAGAGGAGACAGATCGCGAGCTACTCGAGATCGACTCGGTCAATGCTCGATAAATACTTGGATCGAATGGACTCGACTCGAGCTTGACTCGAATTCTTAACGAGCCGAAACGAGCTACTTGATACTCGACTCAAAAAGCTCGTGAGCAGCTCGAAAATATAATATATTAAGATTTTTTTAAAAAAAAATAAATTATTAATAATATTAATATTTATGTGTTGATTTTTTTTTAAAAATACAATAAGACTTTCATATATTTAAAGTTCAAGTTCGAGTTTGAGGATTCAATATTGTTAAGTTTAAGAATTTTTTTTCATTTCGAGCCTTTTCAAGTTGCTCATGAGCTTCAGTTCAGGATTTCGAGTTCGAGTCGAGTTTAAAAATTTTAAGCTCGTGAGTTTTCGAGTCGAGTCGAGCTCCATTTCAGAGAGCTCGACTCGGCTCATTTACACCCCTAATTGCGGCCATAGCGGGCGCTATTGGACGCTATTGCGGGTGTAGCGGGTATATCGAAAGGTAGTGCTACCGTTATTTCACGGGTGCTATCACGATCACGAACTGCTATTTGAAACCCTTAATGACAGACTCGTACTCGTACAGTTTTGATGTTAGCAATTGAACTGGGTAGCTAGACATACTAACTTAGATAAGCAAGACATGTGAATTGTTAATTCCTATGTATTATTCTTGTAACTATTATGCTTACCTTGTTATGCTGAATTTTGAAAATTATGATCTATATTATAAATTTTAGTAAATCCAAAGGTTAATTCAAAGCTCATTGAAAAGTTTAGGGGTGTTTCTATAATTTGTAAAAGTTCAGGGCCACTTAGAAAACCCTCAAGGGCTAACCCTATAATTAGTCCATTAAAAAACCTTTTTGGACACAAATTGCTTATGCTGCAATCACCTTGTTCCAATAGGACAACGAATAAAATATACATGCCCCAGCTTGGTTCTTCAATGGGTATCATCGTCGAAATCGAACAAGTCCAGTTCCCCTTTATGATTTTTTCCGTTTCCCAAACACGTGTATTTTTAAAATAAAAAATTAAAATATTAATCATCTAGTTAAAAATGATAATTCAATACATTATAGGTGGTCAGATATTCTCCTTTATTTCATTTCATTATTTTCTTTAAATATAAACTTTGAAAAAAAATAAAACTAAACTAGCTAGACAAATATTTATATTCCCCTTCAATTCATTTTCATAATTTTGTTCGTGGTTAGTTATCGGACATAAATGGATGTAAAATTTTGTGTTAGATGATGTGATCTTAAAAAAATTAACGGATGTGAAATTAAATTATTAATAGAAAATATAAAAAAAACACTTAAATTATATGAAAATTTAAAATTTTAAGAAATATAACGATACAACAAATATTTTAAAATAACAAGACTATTAAGGCTTGATTTCCTGCATGCCAAATGTTTGCACGTCGTCAGTTAAACAAATTGCAGATACATTGCCAAGTTCATACCTTCTTAGAATTCTTCCACTAAAATTTTTCATGTCAGTGTTGGGATTAACCGGTAAAACCAGAGGGTATAGTTTTAGAGAGCTTTTCATTAGTAAATCCATTAGATATACAGCTACCTCTAACATATATATATCTCAACCAGCAATATAGGGTAAATACATTAGATTTGCCATTGCCTCTTGCAACCAATCATCCTCATCATGCTTCATCTGCAATACCAAAACAAAGTAACCAAACATCTTTAATTTCCTCAAACTCATTCCCCATAACCAAATTGTACATTAATATATGAAAAGAAAGAGATATATATACCCGGATTGCTTCACAGCAATTATACAAGTTTTTGTCAATGGATGAATTATCGGCTTCCTTTTTGAATACCGTTTCTTGATCTTCGCAAAGTTGAGTGTTCCTTGCAAATCTTCCCCTCACTCTAACTCTTCTATCAGCTAGGGTTTTCCTGCAAGCATACTGTACGAAAAAGACCAGCAGTCAATATACATTCCTTTCGTATATAATTAAATATTATCATATCTGAGAAAATTAACGAAGAAGAGACCTTAATAGTCTTGTTAAAGTTCCTTTGGTTTCTCTTCTTCAAGTATCTAAGAATTCTGTCTTTCCTCTCTTCTACCGAATACCGACCGACCTTAAGATTGCTGTCTTCCATGGCCCGCCAAATTTGATTTCCTTGAATTCCCTGTCAAAAGAATACATTAGTCCTCGTGAAATTGTAATGCAAACAATGAATACATGAAAGAAGTTTTATATATATATATATATATATATATATATATACATATACCCAGTTTTGTCTTGGATCAACTGGCTTGAAATCCTGATGAACAAATCCAGTGCATTCTTCTCCAAACTCATAGTCATCTTGTAATTGATATCTGGCAACAAAATTTGGGATGGTTCCATTAATGGCACAGAAGCCTTGTGAAACGCTACTGTGATGAGGCAAAGCTGTCGGGACATCGAAGTCCGAAGATGTCCCGCTTAGCTACGGAAACAATGCTGCTGGGACTGCAGCCGTTAGATTAGAAATTTGTTGAAAAACATCGATCCCGCCGTTGTCTAAAAGCATCGGAAAGCTAATTTCTTCGCCCCATGTTGCACCGGGAATTATTGCACCACCACCTCCAACCGTATAGTTTTCTTGGGGAACTGTCTGTGGATTTGGAAACTGAGAAAAGCTATTGGGAAATGCACAATTAGTGTACAACTTTGGGATGGAAGCCATTGAAAAAGAATTAGGGAAGATGCGATTGAAAGGAAAATAGAATTTGAACTATTTGTTTATGATTTTGAGTCACTTGAAGCTTTAAAGGGTTCCTATATATATAGTCAGTTGTTGTTTTGGCTTACCGTTTTATATAGCTGTAATCTAGTAATTTGGTTATTAGTTTTCCATTAATATTAAATTTCATTGGACCGACATAACAATTTAATGGTTTCGTATCAAATTTATTTTGATTATTATTTTTGGATTGGAGAAGGAAAAGTGAAATTTATGTTCATTTTAATGATCAAATGTAGAAAAGAAAAAAAAAAGTATAGGGGACCCCGTAAGATTTTGCTTTCAAGCTCACATATTTAGCTTCTACCTTTTTATAGCAATAACCCATGAAGTAAATTGGCATACAAGTCCAAATACAACAAAAATGACCTATTAGGTGCAATTGGCTCTCAAGTAAATAGGCATATCTGTGACTAACAACATGTTTATCTAGTGGGATGAGACCCTAGGTCCCTTAAGCAAGGTCAGGGGTTCGAATCCTGACGTTTGCAAATAGAGCAAACTGGGTTAGGAGGGTTGCCCTCGTCTCTACAATACCCCATCTAGATAGATTAGTCGATCAATAGAACGGATACCAATAATCTAGAATGCTTATATAATTGTTTCTCCAACAGTTGCAAGACTGGGTTTAAAACGGGGACAAATATGTAGCAAATTTTATATAATAACATTGACATAATTGCATGCATAAGGAACGAGATAAACGTGAATCCATATAAGAAAATTACGTGATTACATGCAAGTTTATGTCAAAAATCTTGCAATGCTTACTATCCATACTCCTTAACCAGTATATAGGGAATTACATAAGCAAAGAAATTCTTTGCACAGCATTCCCGCGTTAACGGTCCTACAATTAACTCAAAAATCACCCTACTCTGATTTTCTGGATCAGAAGCTGTTGCATATATATATATATATATACACTACATTTTGGTAAAACTTTAGCTCTGTGGAACATTCATCGACTCGAACCAAATGAGGACATGCTTGACAAGCAACCTGCCGAACTGCGTACTTCATCAATTCCCTAGACCAAATGTAAATACTACCCGAATGTAGTAAACTTTGCCCCACATAAACTAGATGCTGCCTTCCAGAATCACAAACCTTTACTAGTCTCGTTGCAAAGGAGACCTTGAAAATTGGGTAAAGCTAGAATTCTTAGCCAACTATTTATCGGAGCATGCAATATTGGCGAAAGGTTATCTATCACATACGAAGATAATAGGTTTCTATGACTCATGAACTGATATTGAGTCTTATAACAGATTAGTCTATGGCCAGGCCTTTATATAGTTAAGGGTGCACCTCAAGAATATGGCCAATATTGTGAATAAATATGCCAACCATACAGATGATGTCCAGAAGTAGACAAACCAGTAATGGTAAATTATCTCAACAAGAGATAATATAAGATCTACCGAACATTGCGATTTAGCAATCCTTGAAATGATAAAAATAGATCTTGGTTATCTGTCCCAAATATCTCCTCTGCCTTCCTCAAAGCATCCTAAAAAATTTAATAATAATAAATTAGTTCAAGAAGCACGGAAAGTTTGAACAGTATACTCCTGGAGGTCTCCACTGAGCTCAACAACACATTACCTCTCTGGTTTGCTTCTGAGCATTTAGTTCCTTGATGTTAGTTAAAAATGCACTGAACTGTTCATAGGAAAGGCGACTCCTAGATTACAAATATTTCAATTAGTTTGTAAAGAGCTAGGGACTTTTGAGATGTCATAATTGAATATATAGACACATGCAGAGACACAGAAACAACTAAAACAAATTAAAGTTACCTGGCCTGACGGAAGAACTGCTTTCCATCAATTCGAGTCCGTACTAAACATATTTAAATACAAGAAAAACCGAATCAGATGAAAACAGAATGAGCTATCTAGTCATGAAAAACAAAATGAGTTGGTCTTATTGGAATAGTTTCAATTCTAGAAAACCTGGCAGTGAATGCCCACGAGGAGGAGAGTTAGCTCTAGATGACTGCTGGCTTGATGAGTACCATGAGGAGAGTGAAGTCCGCCCATCATAACTAGTCTTTGTCGGAGATGTTGTAGCAGAACTTCTTTGGGGAGACAGAGCGGCAGAATGATCCTTAGGGGATATACTTGTGGATATAATTTTAGGAGTTCCAGTAGGACTAAGCCGTGGCGTGATATATGGAGTTATAGAAAATCTTTGCCCAGCATGTCTTGTTGCTGTTGGGAACGTATATCAGCTTACATTAAAGCTTTTAAACAAAGTTCAGGTTTTCCCAGAAGGTATGATTATAGATTCTTTTGCAACTTATGGCAGAGTTATTGACTCGAATCACCCCACTAACTTGTTAATGTATTTCATAGCAAGTAAAAGAATGGATTCAAGTAGTAGAATCAATAACATTTTTTGAAAAAATGTTACACAGAGATTCAGAAAAGCTCACACAATCATAGTTCCTTTTGTGCTTCCTTTAGGAGCTAATCAACCAATACAATCATAGAAGAATCATGGAACTTAATTCATTTATACACATAATAATTTTCTAGTGTCAATATTTAAGTTAAACGTGAAGATGACACCGATTGTAAACAAGAAGTAACTAACCACGTTTCTGAGAGATAGACTCACACTACCTTAAAAGTGCATGAAGTGATAACATTGACTATACCATTACAATCCACACAAAATCTTGAGAGATGAATGGGCACGATGGAAGTAAAAGAGAAAATGGAGAAAGACGTGTTTTTAGGTACAAAATGGAGACATTAGATGTGGTAAAAGAAAGGACCCAATGGTTGATTTCTAGGCCAAGACAATAGACCAACCTTATAAGCAACAATCCATAACATTCAAAATAGTTGAGAGTAAACCCATCAACCTACTCTAATTCTTCCAAAAAATGTGTTATGGTATTATATTTTTTTTTGATAGGAATAGAAGGCCTCATTAAAAACCTCCCTCATAGATAGCCCTTTCCCAACAGAAAGGATCCACTATTAGAGGGAGGGAAAGAGTGCCTCGTTTTATTGCTGAACCAAAATTACATAAACCTTAACAATTACACCTGAACTCCTGACATAAAACTTAATAACTCCACCTACTTGAAAAACCTACTAACTGGGAAGGAAAATAACAAGCAACTATAGTCTAACAATCAACAAATCCCCATCTTTGCTAAACTATCTGCCTCCCCATTACAAGCCCTTGGAATCAACCTAATTAACAACACCTTTTCAGAGAAGAGTGATAGAATTTCTTTAACTAGAGTGTTATGGTATTATATAATGGGGAGACATTTTATTACTCTTGGATGGGAGCTTAATAGACAAATAATACGAGTCCAGTTACCTTCATCAAATGTATTTCCCATGCCTGTCAAACCGTTGAAAGAATGATTTGATGTGCAGTCACTGATATCATCTACGTGAAAGGAGGTAAAGATTGATTAGAATATTGGAGAGAAGAGAGGACTTAAAAGTGGGAAGAAAGGAGGTGGATATAAGCTATTGATGAGTTTCTGAAGAGAAAAAATATGAACAAATTCAGAGAAAATCATACAAAAGGGGGGAAAAGCAATAAGTGAGCTTAATAATACCCTTGTAAGGATAGGCTTTTGGGACTGGCTGGTCACAGGTCCCAATATCAACTGTTTCATCTTGCTGTTAAAAAGAATTGAAACAAGGTTAAAAAATTATGTTGCTTCAATGATCCGAACAAACAGAAATTGAACAGTGAAAACATTGTGCAGAAGACCAGTTTTATTTAGGAAAAACAGAAATATATTGAATTGTAAAGAACAAATAAAACAAGAATGGATAAATATCAATATCTTACAGATGCATTGTCATCACTGAGAGATTGCATCAGCTGTCGCTTAAAAGTCTCCAACTGTCAAATATCAAAATTTGTTACTCTTTATGCTTCAAATTTCTAAACAGAACAAAAATGCAATATGATGATGCACCGGTAAATATAATTTAAAAGAAATGATAAACAAATAGAGAAAGAGAATTATGAACAAGCATAATTATAAAAGAAAAGGATGAGATATAGGAAAATATTATCTGAGTTCTTCAGAAAGGGCAAGACATTGAAGAATGAATATTTTTTTTTGAAAAGTCTCGGGATGATTATAAGGTAGTATTTGTTCAATATTTTCTTAGCCTATAGACAACGTGCACACAACCTACAAATGTTACTCCTCGAACCCGGGTCCTCTAGGGAGAACAACATTCTCTTTTACCACTAAGGTCACTCAATGGGTTTATTGAAGAAAGAATTTAAATTTACAACTATAATAGGTACTAGATAGAAGCACAGTTAAACATAGATATGACTGAATCAAAGCTTTGAATGTAAAGGTAAACATTCCAAATGCTTTGATCAAGTAACTACAACGCAAAATACCAAATTTACAGACTGCTAGTGCATTCTTCGGCCTTTACCATTATCATCTCACACAGTGGGAAAGCACTTGGTTAATAGGACTCAAGAATCCATTGAATAAGAACATTACACACCAACACCAAAAATCATAAATGGACTGGATTCATTGCCAAAGAGAACTTCTTAAAATTCTTTAATTAAAAAGGTTGAAACTCAAGCACCAGAGAATGAGTTCATTATCATAAGCATACCATATATAACTAGAATTGGGAAACTTAAAGCAGATTAAATGGGCATAAAAACAGCCAGTAAAACTCTGTTTCAGTTTCAATTTCAAACTCATGTTATGCTCCGAGAAAGGGTTGCATATTAATAAGAGCATAGAATCTTTTCTGCAATTAAAAATTCAAAATGGAATGCAGTCCTGAATTTTCCAGATTAAACCAGAAAAAAGATTAAAGTGGCAGGATACTTCATAATCAAAGTTATAGATTGCATGAGCAAAGTTGCTGTTTTGCAGATATATTTGTAAAGATACATATTCCAATACTCTATTTTTGATAAGTTCACTAGTTCAAACAAATTTATTGAAGTATTTCCTTCATGATATACAGAAGATTCCATTAAAAAAATTGTAGATTTCATGGGATATCTTTAACTTACTAAACTCGTAGGAAGCACGCAGCCTGCAGATTTCAAACATAAAGCTTCATTTATAACGAATTTTCTTAAGTTAAAGTTCCCATTTTTTATCAAGATCAAAACATTTAAAGTTACACCACCTTAGCTACCAAAAAACTAATTTGTTATAAGCTACTAAAAAACCAACAAAGGTAGCAGCATATGTTCCATAACCAGAAGAACTTGGCCCATCACTAACCTGATATGAACCTTTAGCATAAGCTCAAAATTGATTTCATGAATCATAATGAACTTATCTGCTCACGAAAAAGATGTAGCATGCTGTACATATCTAAAACAGAAATAAAAGTTTATTTGAATTGGTGGAGAGAGGGAACAAGAATTAAAATTAGAATCTCGCCTTAGCTAAATCACGGCTAAGTTTCCTTGCAGTAATTGCCAACGAATCACGCTCCTTTGAAAGCTTAACCTTCAATAAGAAAAAACAACACAAAATTGTCAAATTCACGAACAATAAAACCCAACAAATTTTGATAAATGCTTCGATCGAAAACGAATTTGTATATATATATATAAAACCATTACTTCCTGATAAAACCAAAAAAATTAATATAAATAAATAATTAATAAAAGCCCACAAAATAATCAGCATGCACATAGACAGAGAAACAAACTATAGAAATCCCTCGACAGGAACGGAATTTCTGCTTAACAGCGATTTTTAGTTGTTATGAATGAAGAAAAGATAGAAGAGTGGCCAAAAAAATAAAGGCGAGAGAGAGAGAGACTGAGAGAGTAAACCCTAAAATTTAAAATTTCTTTCAAAAATGGCCCATAGAAAATCATAAAATAAACTTTAAGAGATTAAAAAAGGACAAACATTTTCAGCGAAGGCAAGCTTTAATCTAGAATCAGCTTCCTGATTGGCTTGCTGCAACCTTGAGAGTTTCTCTTCCAAATCGTAAATGGTACGATCCTTTTGACACAAGCTATCCCTCATCCTGGCCATCTCCGCCTCCATATTGGACACTCTTGATGCAATCGCCATGGACGTTATCTTACGAGCCATATCTAACTGCTCGTAAGGGTCCGTGGGTATCACTGAAAGAATCTCCTCCGGAAGATTGAAGTCCATCGCACTTCCGCCACATCCGAGCGACACCGCCGATAATGTGTCTTCTGCGGTCGCTCGGGGAAAGGAGAACATTTGAGAAAGATAATAAAACAAGTAGAGTACGTAAATGTAATACTAATATATACGGTAAACTACCCAAACAATCACTAATTTTCTGTTACATTTCATTTTCACTATTGAAGTTTAAAAGGTTATAAAGAAGTCACTGGTATTTTTAATTTGTAACAAAACGATCTTTGAATCGTTAACTTTAGTTATCCAAATCACATAAATCTGACGTGACACGTTAATTTAATTTCATATATTTTCCATATAAATTTAACTTTATTAAAAAAAACTTTACTTTTTCATTTTGTTAATTCTTTCATTAAAAAATAAATTTATTTTATCACAAAACCAAAAAACAATAAAACTTAAAAGAATAAGAGAAAAATAAAATAAAAGGGTAAAGGAAGGGATTGAAGATACGGTGTCATTGTATTTGTGTTTGGTTGTCGTCATTAGTCTACAAAAATGCAAGTATTTTCCCCAGAAGTTTCGCTTTCTTCTTACCTTCATTATCTTCCTCTTCTCTCTTCATCCGAGCTAACAAGAACAAACTCCGATCTTTCTCTTTTTCAAGCATCAATACAAGATCTTTAAGGTAAGATTACCATAACCTTCATTGAGATTTCACATCTTTCTTAATAATGTTCTTGAGTTCCTATAAGACTTTTTGGAGGGTTTGAGCTCCAAGGAGTTTCCTCCTATGATTCTATTTGGTTTTCATATAGTTTAGTGGTTGTTTAATAATTAGTATTTTTCATTTTCATGTTACAATCATTTTGTTAGTTTTCTATTGGTGGAAGAGTGATGCAAGCCCTAAAGAGCAAGACTGAGGAGAGTTTGATTCTTTTATATTTGTTTTTTAGAGCTAACTTTTTTCTATGCGCAAGTTATTTTATAAAAATAACAGCAAATGGCTATTATAAGGACCTTATTAAGTAAAGAAATAAGACTTGTGCTTTTATTTCACACTAAAAAAGGATAAAGACATGCGAATTTCTTACATGTGACGATTGTCAATTATGTTTAATAGATGTATTTGATGGATTGTCTAAATATTTTAAGAGTCATGCCGAGATATTAAGTAACAACAATCAAATGCTACCCTAAATCGAATACATATAATATAACCAAGAATTCTAAACATTTAGTAATAACTATACAAATAAATAACAAATACAGATTGTGTTGTTGAATTTCCAAATAAATAAGACATGTATTGATGCAAAAACTCTTTCCCCCGACACAAACAAGCTTTGACAGATTCAAAGTTACTCACCTTCTATGAAGCATGCAAATTCAAGCAATAAGAATAGAGGAAATCGATGTTCAGTTCAAGATGCAGGCTAATAGTTACATCGCCACAAAATGATGATTACCCGACTCCGACGAGATCTATGAGGATCATCGTCTGTTGATACGTGCAGCCATTTCCTACACATTGCGTGCAGCCTGAAGTTTGTTAATGGACGAATTCAAAGCAGGGAGATAACTGTAAAATATGATGCCCCTGGCTTTGGACGTTTCAACATGACGGATCGAACACGACACTTTCCTCAGCAGTAGCAGATTCTTTGTGAAATGCCCAGGAATTCATGTCAAAATAATTTTTACTTCATCCCAGTTCACTTCACTGGTCGCATGCCAACAGTTCTTACCCGGAACCGGTACCGAGGCTGAGAGTCGTCCTCATCATCATCGCTAGAGTCATCTTGAACTTTGACCCACCGTGCATAGTCCAGAGCAGAGTGTCCCTTTGGCTTAGAGATTGCTTGCCAACCCTTGGAATCTTTGGTGCCCTGTCCGATAGGAACAGATACACCAATTCTTTGAGGCACTTTCTTCTGTTCTATGTGTGCGTCGGATTTAGGTATTCCTGGGTATCCTTTGGAATTTGGTTCTTGAGGTGCAGCTACTCTAGTATTTATTTCAGGCACGCACTTACAGTCTATTTCCTGCTCAGAAGATTCTTTGACATTCGGATCTTCCCGAACAGCCGGTAGTACAATGTCTTCCTTGCTATCATATTGTTCCTCTCCTTTCTGTGCAGTACAGGATTGTTCATGCTCTTCTTCCTCCTCTTCAAACTCGGCTTCAGACTCGGGTATTGGAGTAAGTGTCTTCCTTTAAGCAAAGAAAACAAAATCCAGTTTCTTACTGACATCCGGAAGATGAAATACATGTGACTTAAAAAAAACTATTGTAACCAAATGAAACAATAACTTTTGAAAGTATAACGAACAAACAATTGATTTTGTATTAACCAAGACCAACCAATGGCAGAGTTTATGTGAAATGAAAAGAAAAAGATCTACAGCCAAATAGAGAGAAGAGAACATACCACTTGCGTCCTCAAGCAAGCTTTAAGGTTATGATAAACTTCTGAAGATGGATTCAACTCTATGAGCCGGTTGACATCAAAGAGTGCTGAATTGTACTCCTTTAAAGTGACTAGAGTTTGCGCTCGCAACATCAAAGCTCCAGTGTGCTTGTGGTCAAGCTCAAGAACAGAGGTACATTCTTCTGTTGCCTACGGTTGAATTACTAACATCAGTTTTCAGGCAACAGTTTCCATTCATTAAAGTAAAATGGATAAATAACCAAAAGCACACTACAACGCCACACATTTTAAACTTTCTAAATATTGTGTACGACATTATGGTTGTCAATTCAAGTGTTCCAAGGGGGAGTAGGAAGGGAGCTTCAACCCCACAGCGGAAAGGATACTTAAGGTCTTTGGGTGTATAAGGGTAAACGTCGCACATGTCAACAATCTGTTTTTTCAGGGGAGGGTCTTGGCATGTTAGAAGTGGTATCAAAGTCAATACTTGATTATCTAACTCCGTGCCCACTGACAATACACGTACACAGAATGCAAGAATGTGAGTCTGCACAATGTATTCCAGGTTATGGATACTTTCATCAAACATCAAAACAATTTAAAATCTATAGGATTCATCATCGCACTCCTCATATGTTGTTCACATTTGAATCTTGCTTTATCGTTTAGGAAAATGACCATCTAAGATACGAACTTTTTCTGCAATCCCAAATTTAAATTTAATAGCTCAACATTATTTGTACTTGCATAATCTAACAAAACAAGGAAACCTTGTTAGCTACATAATTTTCTCCATTTTTTTTAAAAACCTCATTATTCTAAAACGTAAATCTTAAATTCACTATAAATTTCAAAAAGGTAAGATTCCATGGTTAGTACCTATACCATGTATAAGTTGTGGATCTAGTCTTGTACTTTAATTGAGTCAATTTTAGCCCTGTACTTTGCAAAATTTGATATTTCAATCCTGGCTCAAATAATACAAAGACAATATAACTACATTACATGACATCAAACTATGAAATTGGAGCACAAAACTAAATCGACGACAAACATATAATAAAAAAATACACCGAAAATTCAAAATCCACAACTTATGCACGATACAAACACTGATCATAAAATTTAACCTTCCCAAAACTTCACTAACAGTTTCCAACCTTGCTTCTAAGATAAGAAAATTGCACCGTTATGGCTTATGTCCACAAGCAGGATTAAGGGGAAAAACGAACCTAATATATATATATATATACACACACACACATATATAAAAAATAATGTCCCAAATTTAACAAGAAAAAATAATTAAAATTGATTTACTGTTTTCAATTTTTCATATTCATCAAGATTAGTACAACTCTCACAAAATAAACTTTTGTCCATTGAGAAAATTTTGTCGATGAACCCAAAGCCCAAATACTCTAATATGAAGCAAGATTACTACTAAAAACCACTGAATGAGAAAATCCAATAAGCAAAATCAGATGTAATTCAAAAGGACTAGAGGAAAAAAAAAAACCTTTCTGAACTGATGTAATTTCAAGAAACAAGCAGCTCTATTGCTGTGCAACGCGATCTTTTGAGGTTTCGTCCTAGCAGCCGCCAACGCCGCCGTGTAGTAAATCAGGGCTTCCTCGTACATCCCTTCTCGATACATCTGGTGGGCCCTCTCGATCTTGTTAAACGACGCCGTCGCCATATTCACCTGCTACCCAGTCCTTCCGATCTGGTTAATCTGTTATGAGATTTTCAATGGAACATATTTTTTATAAAAAAAATGATAGAGAGAGGAGAGAGAGAGAAAGACAACAAGAGAGTTGGATTTTCCATAAAGTTTATGAACCCTTTTAAACAATTGCCATAATGTTAAAAATAATATTTAAGTCTATGATGTTTAATTGAATAGTCATTTTAACTCGTATTTTTTTTTAAATATGCGAGTCTTTAATGTTTTTATTTTAATAAATGATTCATAATTGGATGAAAATCGTCAATTAATTAATGATCAATATTTTTCACTGATAAAACACATCCTATGTATCCAAAGTATTAATGTGACACTATCATAAAAACATAAATGGTTAAACGATGACGTAACACATGTAATGTGTTTAAAAATTATAACGTGACACGTAAATGATGATATGACATATACCACGTGTTTAAAATGATGACATGATATATTTTGTTAGTAAAACTATTTTTTATTTATTAAATTATTTTCATGGAATAAGATAAAAATATACGTCATCATCTCATGAAAAAAATGATAAATTAAAAAATAAAAAAGTTAATATTTAAACTTAGATTTTTAGGATGAAAAATTCAATTCCTAACTATTATTATTTATTTTATAAATACATTATTCATATTATAAAATATTAATATCATTATATTATATAATATTAATTTAATAAATAAAATATTTTACTAATATTATATATCATATCATCATTTTAGACACATGACATATTATTTTATACAAATAACATGTGCTAACGCTTATGTACACTTGACACTACCACATCAATAATTTGGATAAATAAGAAGTGTCATGTCATCACAAGGATTGATAATTAATTAATTAATATTTTTCATCAATTAGAGATTATTTTGATCTAAAAAAACGTTGAGGATTAAAGTATAATGATTATATAATATTACATGAAAGAAAATATGTTTGATCCTGTTAAGTTCGAACTTTGAATGTTGAAGTTAAAATTCATTTTATATGTTTAAAATATTATATTGTCTAAACACATTTTTAGATTTTATTTTTGGGTTTCATTCTTATTTATTTGAAGTGGATATAGTTGAGAACGAGTTGGATTTAGGTATATTGGGTTTAGGATAGATGTATAGGAGTTGGTTTTTTCAATTTTTTTTGGTTTTTTAAATTTTTTTAAATTTAAAAAATTAAAACAAAAAATCAACCATTCATTGTAATAAAAGAAATATGAAGTTTTAAATTGACAATAAAATAAGAAAATAAGCAAACACCATTATTGAAAAATCAATTTTTTTTAAATTTTAAAATTATTATGTTTGAATAATTCCTACCTATGAGGAGGGGAAGAAGAAATTCTCTAACACGGTGCGAGAAGAAGATCCCCAAACAAACTTTTTAATATATATTACTAAATATGATAATATTCATTAATTGATATTAATTAAATTAAATTAATAATCTATATTATTAAAGGAAAATGAATATTTTTTTCGAATAGAGAATATCTTAATTTATATATAAAGTAATGTCATGCGTTGTACGAAAAAGAAAACCAATAGTGAATATATAAACAAGGGACCGATACAAGTAAGGGGTAAGCCATCAAGTACAACTCCTTATTAACTCACAAAATGGATAAAAGAATGCAAACACATGATGACTTTGGACGGTGATCGGTTTTAGTTTCTTTTAAGATGAATTATTGTTAATTAATTAAAACTAGGTAATACGACTTACTTTATTTACTCATAATAAATAGTGCTTTGAATGAGATGATTATTCAGTTCAGTTGGTAGATCACAAGGTTATTAACCTTGAGGTCGTGGGATCGAGTCTCACTGAGGGCATTTCATAATTTGAAAGTCTTCTACGGAAGTTGCTCTTACCAGAGACAACCAAAAACCAAATAGTGCTTTGAATGCTTTAATTACTGATAATGATGAATTATTCCTTTTTTGACATAGCTAATTATGCTTATAAAAATATATAATCGTTGCTTGTAAGTGAAGATTATTTAGGATAATTCTTATAAAAATATAATTTAAAATTATTAATTTTAGTTCAGTTGTACGTTTCTAGTCGAACGTATTCATTTTCTCTGTCAAATAACTTACATAATCGTTTAGAGTATTTTGGTTAATAATCATATTTTGTTTGTCTAAATAACATATTTATTTCCAATATTTATCAAATGATAAATTTAAATATTTATTAAAAAAAATTAATTCATCATTAATTATTTAAGTATGAATTATGTTTAGTTATTAATTATTTAACATATCAATTATTTAAATAAGCATTATGTAAACAATAATTATTTAAATAAATTAAGATTATGTTATGAAATAGTTAATTAAAACAAAAGAAAAAGAAAAATAACAATTAATCAATAATTTCATTAATTAAAATAAAATAAAAAATTAATTAAATAATTAAATTTTAAAATATTATTGTGAAAGACAGATTTTTAAATGATAAAAATCGAACACCCTAACATATGAATTATATATGATAAAAATAAAAAATATTTTTAATAAAACACTTCCAATTAAACACGATTTTATTCTATATAACTTAAAGATGTATCATCTCTTTAAATAATATTGTTATAATTAATTTTGGGATGAAAACTATTCTTATACAATTGATCGATGAACTTGGGGGAAATATGATGTATGGATGTAAAGGTGAATATTATAATATTAAGGGAAAAGAGAAAAATAAATAAATAAATGTAAAGTGAACATTATAATATTGTAGCTGCAAAGTAGTCCTACTCCTACCTGTACCATCTACGCTCTTTCACGCTCTGTCTCATCATTAGCTTTTCTATGTCAATGTCTTCCTCTCTTTCCTCTTCTTTATATATTCCCCTCACTCTCATTTCTGTTTCCAAACAAACATACCATTACATTATAGATCTCGTCTTCGTCTTCGTCTTCGTCTTCGTCTTCGTCTTCGTCTTCGTCTTCACCTTCAAATCAGTTCAAGGTTCAGCCATGAAGCGACTCATCCGCCGTCTCACCCGCGTCTCCGACGTTTCCTCTTCCAATTACTGCCTCCTCCGTTCCGATACCACCGCTCGACATCGCAGTACTTATTCGTTGAGGAAGCAAGCGCGGCGGTCCGTCCCCGAGGGTCACGTGCCAATTTACGTAGGGGAAGAGATGGAGCTGTTCGTCGTGAACGCCCAGTTGCTGAACCACCCGGTTTTCACAGCGTTGCTGAATAAGTCGGCTCAGGTGTATGGTTACGCCCAAAAAGGGGTGCTTCATATTCCGTGTCGCGTGCTGGTTTTTGAGCGAGTTATGGAAAAGCATTGAGAGTCGGAGGGGCGGAGTCGGGTGACCTCCGGGATCTACTCGGTTCTTTCTCCGACGACTGTTTTTTGAGTTACTAGGAGGAAGAGCAATCAACAAAACGCCGTCGTTTCTATTTTTTTTTGTAAATATAGAAGCTCAAAGGGAAAACGAAAAGGGGCATTTTTTTGTGCGGTCCTTCTTCTTCTAGTCAGATTTAAATTTGTTTGCGTAAGTTAAGAGAACGAAAATGATAGTGAAAAGATTCATGTGTAATGCTGTATTGAAAATGGTGCAAAATTCGTGTTTGGTTGGAGGAAAAGCCCAAGGCAAAGTCTTCTATAATACAATGATATTTTTCTAATTTTGTGTTTAAATCTGAATGTAAAGTCTGCTGAGATCCAAACATGGAGAATGGAAGTTGGTAATTGGGGGTGGACTGAAATAGATGTTGTTTGAGGAGCCATCGTATGCCAGCTGCTATAAAGAATGTAATATTCTCTTCTGTTAAAGAAATCATGAAGAGATTTAATTTGAAATTTTCAGCCATCTTATATCAACGGTTGTTTGAGTTTGTATGATTTTCAGCTGCTATAAAGAATATAATATTATTTGAATTAATGAATTATTTAAGCATGCATATATTCATATAAATTATTAATTGAATTGAATTAATATTATTGTTGATATATTATATAACGAAATATAAAATTAAATGTACTTAAATATTTAATATTAATTGATTTATGAATCAGAAAAAACCGAATAATATATGTATTTTATTATGAAAAATATATGACTAATAAAAACTGATACTAACGTGTTCCATTTTCATACTACGAAATGGTCCAAAACAAAACATTAATTTTGAGGAAATCAAAAAAATAAAAACAGGCGTCTAAGCAGTAGGGATAGCAACGGGTCATGTTCGGGCCAGGTATTGATCTCTCGTCCCTGTTTAAAAAACTCGTACATGTTCTTGCTTAAAAATCAGCGGGGATTCTCATTGGATAATCGGGAAAACCGCGGGGAAATTGGTATCCCTGTTTAGCATAAACGATTATTTAAACGGGTATAGGGCCGAGTATATATATATATTTAAATTAAATATATAAATTATTATATATTTTTTAATTTAAATTAAATTTATTAATATTATATATATATATATAATAATTATTTTTAATATTTATCGGGTCGAGTATCGGGCAGGGTAATCGGGTAATCGGAGCGAGGATTACCAAAATTGTCCCCATCCCCGTCTCGTTTAGCATAAACGTTTTTTTCCCGTCCCCGTCCCCGTTTATCATCCCCGAACCCGACCCGTTTAATTCAGTTTTCGATTTTTTCCGTCAGGTTCGAATTTTTTTGTCATCCTATTAAGCAGCCAGCACAAACACTGAAACTGAAAATCAAAAAATTATTGTATATTGGGTAAAGTATACAAATGGAGTGTTGCTTTATGAGTCATCTGATTATTAGAAGTTATAAAATGATCATTAGGCTATTCATATGTTACAAACTTATCATTTTCCGTTAAAAAATGACGGTCGTCTGAGCTAAACGTTAACATATTGGATAAGATATGATAAAAACATATTTCAATGATGTCTACTGATACCGTCGTTACTTTCAAGTCCTGGTTCGACATCATAATGTTTCAAACACTGATTTGACGACATAATGTAAATGGAGAGTTGATCTACAAAATGCAACTCAAACAATTATGAGATCAAATTTTATTATGTTTTAGTCAACGTGTTAACGTCCAGCTCAAACGATTGTTAATTTTTTAACAAAAAAAAGAGAGTTTGTAACATATGAATAGTTGAATGATCATTTTATAACTTTTAATAGTTGATTGATTCAATAAAGATACATTTTATTGTTAAAGGACTATTTTATAACTTTTGATAATTAGATATTTCAACAAAACAATACTCTAGTCGATGAATCATTCGAATTCTTTATCCTTACGTATTTTAGGCTACATAGTATAAAAATTTGACTAAGGAAAGAATATCGATAACGTATGTTATCAATCAAAATCAAACTTAAATTGTTAATACATCATAAATTTATTTATTTAAAAAATATTGAACTCTCAACATTTTATTGCATCGATCATTTTACTGATCGAGTCTTTTCGTACACGAAAATAAATAATGATAAATTTAAATACATTTTAAAATATGTATGATTTTGTTTTGCATAGATTTTTTTTATAAATTTATATAAAAATAATTTTTAATTTTTAAATATAAAATTACTTACTTTTTTTACTTTTTAATATCATATCTAAATTAATTATTTTAATTTTTTACATTATATTTTAGCTTATAACCTATAATTTTTTTCATAATGTTTTTTATATCACTTTTTAAAAATGTTTTTCAAAATTCAATTCAGCAAAACTGGGATTCCTCCAATTTAAATGATACTTTTGATTGAATTGGATAATAAGAGGTGGAAAGTTGTAGTATTGCACATTTCAAGGACTTTGCAGTGTGAACCCAGTTGTTTTGGCTGACACAGCATTCAAGAATTCATGGCATACGCTGTTTACAGCTTATCATAAGTTGAAGGCACATAATATTAGTAATCCCATACGGTACCAAACATTATGCCACGCGCCCTTCATCATTGCCTCTTCCTTTCTTATTATTTCTTTATTTCATATCCATAATAAAATATTATCTTACAATGTCAACACCATGGTTGTTGAGTTTTATATTTTCTTTATCATTTTTCGACAAAGAAGATATACATATTTAAAAAATTATTGAGTTGTTCTAATAATAAAGTAGAGTGTTATTCAATGTGAAAAAGATCGAATTCGAGTAATTATATTTATAAATGTATGTGTTTTATAATTATCCATAATTATTAAATATATATATATATATTTATTTAAACTTAGGAATAGTATTAATAAACATTTAGATTTGAAGTATAAAAATTCAATTCATAATCAATCTATTAAATAAATATAAAAAAGGTGGAGATGTGGTATAATATATAGCTAAATAAAAATAGGGTAAGAAAAGGTATATAAATAAGTCGCGAGAATAATGTTGGACCAACTTAATTGACGCCTGCTAGCTAGCAAAAGGAAACGCAAATGCATCCCCGTCCAGCTCAATTGGTAGAGTACAAGGTTTTTAACTTTGTGGTCGTGGGATCGAGTCTCACGGTAGGCAATTCATAATTCTGAACTGCCGGAGGTCTCCCACGGAAACTACTCTCAACCTGGCATTGGGGCAGCCTACTATCCTGTCTCCCTCTTACCCCATTACACATGGAAATAGGGTCAGTTAATTTGCTGCCATACGCGTTGTCATGCATGACTCATATTTATTTTCATCCCAAAATCTGTCATTAATATATAATAAAAAACAAATATTCTTTTTTTATCATCGTTTTGAGAACCAATTTAAAAATAATAAAAAATCAAAATTTAACTCAGTTAATATTATCATTGTGAGATATCAAAATCCACATATATAAACTTATGTGACTACGTAATTTCCTTTAGCTATGAGTTTATGGATTACGGACATTTTAAACATATTATGAAAAATGAAATACAATCTATATTAATATTATTTCAGGGAATTAAAGATATCTTTTTTATGTTGAGATAATTTATTTACATTATTTATTTATTTATTTATTATAGAGGAAATGATTGAAGAATGAAGATCCGAGAAAAAGGGCAACGAAATTAGTGAAAGGAAAACATGTGAATGCAGGATATGATACACATGGGTTCGGCTAACTGTCAAACTGCTACGATCTCAATTATAAATTTTAAAGTTTTTTTTCCTTCATAAACTCAAAATTACATTTTTGTTTATTAAAATAATATGGATAGCCAAAAAGGTTTTTGGATTTTTTCATGTTATAGATGTCCACTTGAAGCACAATTAAATAACGATTTATTAAAAAAATAATGTCCATATATATGTGTATCATATTTATATTATTATTTTTGACATTGTAAGTGCAATTACAATACAAGGATTGAGATGAGCTCATTTTCTTCTTTTGAAAGAGAAGAGATAATTATATTTATAATTTTATAAAGTTAAAAAATTGAACCAATAGGCGTTAGTTATAAGCAGAATAATTTGTCTGACACTTTAATTTTATTAGTTTAATCATTTCAGTTCTTAAACTTTTATTGTTTTCCTTTTGGATCTCGAACTTTTATTTTTATCGAGTTAATCCTAATGTAGTAGATCAACATGTGATTGACAGATCAATTGAACAACAAGTGTCACATCAAGTCATCATAGTAACGCGAAAATGATAACTATAGTGAAATGACGATAAAATTTGTTTCGAAAACACAAATTGCATTCTTTAATTATGTTAAGAGTCGTTTGTACGATAAGAGGGTTTAGAAAACAACTTGGTTTTATTGGAAGAATGAAGTTGGTGCCATTTGCTATCTTCCAAATTCAAAATTATTGGCCTAAGCCAATGATCAAGAAGATCAATCAATTGTTTTCTAGTTTCTTGTGAAAGATAAATGAGTCATCCACTGAGGGAGCGATAGTAAGTTGAAGGTAAATTAGTACGTAAAGCTAAAGGAGGCTTGGAGGTGAAAGATCTGGAAAGTTGGAAGAAAGTATATATGCAGATATGGATGAACTGGGGAGGGGAGTTGGGGACGGTCGTCCTGTTAAGTTAGTAGATGCATAGTATGAATAATTTCTCTTGTATTTCAAAATGAATAATGCAATGTTTTTTATACACATCAACTAAAGAAAAGATTGAACTAACTCACTCATAACCATAACAAACTAACTACTCTCTGCACTCCCCAATCAAGTTGGAGGGTGAAAAAAAAATTCTTCAGCCTCAACTTGATCGTCAAACTGTGGTGTTGTAGAACTCCAAGAGATTTAGTTAAAATATTCGTCAATTGGTCAACAGAGCTAACACGTGTAGTTTAATCAAACTTTTTTGAATTTCTCCCCGATCAAAGTGAATCTATGATTATTTTGGCCTCTATTCATTTTTTTTTGGAGTATTTTGGTTCCCAGCGTTTTACTTTGGGGCAAAATGTTCACTCTATAGATGAAAATTATTAGTTTTAACACACGATTAATGCTCCAAAATAAGAGTCTTTTTTAACCTAAAATAAGACATTGATGGCTAAAATACTCTTGAAAAAAATAAGGGACAAAGTGATTATTTTTTCAAATGTTAGGGACATTTTTGCCCTAAAATGAAACTTTGGGATCCAAAATGCTCCAAAAAATAGAATATGGAGCAGAATGACCATTTTGATAAACGTTGGGAGGCTAATTTTAACATTATGCCTTAATACTAATATTAGCGAATCCCATGCATAAATATTAATATAAAAATATTTTAAATATATATTTTTATATTGAAATGAACCACTGAATCAGATCCAAATTGGATAGAGAACGTCTAGATAATTCGAAGAGTGACACTACCTGTGAACACCTCTGTATTCATGAAAGTGAAACCAAAGAGTTTGAAAATACGAATTATGCATACTAAAAAGTGTTGATTTCTATTTGTTTCTTCTCTTTAATTGATTTTAGGACTAAGGTAAAACTTTGAATCTCTGAAAAACCTTACAATTATCTCAGCTTTGTCTGCAGAAAGATCTGTAGTCTCCACAAGGTATTCTTTTGATGCTTTAGCAATCCCTTCGATTGAACCAATTGTTTGATTCAGCTGTAAACATAACCAATGAGTTTATTCAACCATGAACATGTAAACATCTAAGCCTATTTATTCCAAAACAGAACAAGCACGCAAACATAAATACCGCATTTGCATCATGGTTGTCAATCCCTGGTATGGATGTCATTACCCTAATGAAATTTTCCATCCCCTGTACTGATTGATTCTTCTTCACATGCAAGAAAATGAAAAAAGAAGAAGTAAAATGCACAAATTCAAGTGAAACTGAAGTCTGAAATCTGGTTAATAGTTTATGTTTCAATATATATGATTAGGATCTACCTACACTTGGTGTAGACTACTGACATTATCTCCATGTTTTCTTCACCTTTTTAAAAAATTTCAGTGAATATTTTTTATTCTCTATTATTAATTTCAATTGTCTATTTTCATTCATTCAATAATCCTAAAAAAATGTAAAACTAAAAAAGTTTACACTGTAAATAAATAATGCCAATATACATATATAAAGAATGAAAGAAAGAAGAAAGTTACAATCTGCCGACGAACCTCAGCTTTCAATTTTGATTTAACCTCCTGCTGTTTGCTAACTGCATGTATATAGCAAATTATCAGTCATGCACCACAATAAAAGTTCCAATTCCATCTTAGCAATGTTAAAAGAAAAACCATTTTTTTAATAATTGCATTAAAGTAAGATTCATCCATAGGATAGGATGTTACCTCCACAAGAGTGGGCTATCTTCACAATCTTTTCAAACCCCATCTCAATGTCTTGAACTGGCACAAATGTAGGTTTACCAAGCTGCATTTCATACCTTTTCAGATCCATAAAACCTATAATTTAGTTATTCGATAATTATAAATATACGGCCAAAACATGAAAAACCAAATAATAATCATAATAAATTGGTCGGTACAAGAATTACTTGAAGTAAGAGCAGAGAAAAGAGTCATTTTGGTCCCTAGTTGGAAGGTTAACAGTGACGTAGAGATACGCAAACTGAGCCTTGAGCTTCTTTGCCCTGTAAATGTCAGATCAAATGAATTATAATATGATAATAGAAGATCAAATAAAGAACATTTGTTAATATTTCACCTGCTGAATATTGTTTCTACATTGCAGCGATCCCATTTTGTTACAAAAATGAAGGCTACTGACAATCCTCCACAATTAAAAATGAAGTCCTGCACATAATAAGTGCAGCTGAGTTATAAAACCATTCATCCATACGAGGAAAAGAAATGAAAAAAAATGAAATCAATGGAAATACAGGGGAAATTGGAACAAAGTTAAGGCGGAAAGAATTTGCAACGAGGAAGGAGGAGATGAAATTGATGAAAGATGGATGTTGTTGATCCCTCCAGGTAGTGTTCATCATGCAAACTCCAGCGGAAACTGCAATTTTAAAACAAAATAATTGATAAATACAAAAAAAGAAGAAGCAATCACTAAAAATGATTCAGAAAAGCTGATTTCTACTCGCGATCAAAGATCGCATCATCAAACAGAAGCTGCTTAATTCTATATGAAAATTTATTTCTCAAATTCAAAATAGCAGCAGTGCATAATGTATCATTTAACGATGTTGTTCGGTGAAATAAAAAATGAACCGTCCTTTGCTTCAAACAAAAATAAAACAGAGGCAATGGAGAGTTTCTTTCTACCTGAACTCTTCGTAACCTTGGAACATGGATTTTCAAGCACTTGATCTTCATTGCCTGGTTTGAAATTCGCCATTTCGATCCAAAATTTAGATCTTCGATTTGTCAGACAAAATTAACGGTGAAAAACTCGGGCGGGGAATACAAATCGCTGTTTTCTTTTTCTTGTTGCTTTTGACCGAAAATAAAATGTGTAAACTACTTATATTATTAAAATTATGATCAAATAAAAATAATTTATAAAAATTAAAGACTAAATTTATAATTTATTGGGGAATGATAAAAAGACAAATTTATAATTTTAATAATATAATTTTCAATATTTAAATATTGTGCTAATTTAATATTCTCTTTGACTTTTATTTTCTATCAAACACACTCAAATTTTATTTTCGTTCCACTTTTTCACTCTTCTTCCATCCTTTCATTTTTACTCCCAATCAAGTAAGTCTTGGTAATAGTTAAACGAGGCGCGACGATTAGTGGAGATGACAACAACACTTTTAATAAGTCGAGTAATTATTTTATAAACTTCTAAAGTTGAGTGACTCAATTAGAAAGTTATTAAGAGTCGGGTGAATATTTAAAAATTTTACCTAAATAAAATTAAACAAAGTAATTACATCATTAGTCACCAAACTGTAAATGTTTTGATTAGCATCGTTGTTATTGCAACAATTAAGGGCATGAGTGTGGTTAAGCGTAATTGTCCTTAATTTAGGAGTTAATGAATCATGGGTAGTTTAAGGGTTTTAATTTGTACTTTAAAAATATTGATGTGTTTTTAATTGGTATAATCACACGTTTAATCCTCAACACTTCTAGATTTTTTCAATTTAATTCTAATTTTAAATAATTTAATTATTTAAATTTACAAATTCTATTAATTTTATACATGGTCAACCCCGAGCACCCTTCATCAATAAGCCATTACCCTCAAGCTTGGGTAGTTAAGTTGAAATGAAGCTTGGACGAAGTGTCATCATTTTGATAAGTTTCATATTTCTCACACGAAAACGTTAGGTATAAATAAATCGACCTATTTGCTTCGTCTTCAAAACTAAAAGGATTAAATTACAGAATTTGAATAAAAATAATAATTACATCATATCCCAACCTGACTTGGGCCACTGCAACAGAAGAGTTAGAGAGTGTTACAGTCGATTCTCTCAACATCTACATTTTTCTGGATTACAGTTGTTTCATGCTCCTTCCTCAGCAGTTAGGCCTGCAATTTCCTTGAGTGGTTTCCACATGAATTTTCTCCTGTGTTGTTGTTTTCACACACACACACACACACACAAAAAAAACAAATAAATAATCTCTCTTTCAAATCATCACTCAAATTGGAATAATTGGGATATAGGAAGTGTGATTTTATACCAGTTTCCGCACTCGGCAATGACCCTCACTTTTGGCCGGAGACTGGGCAGCAAAGCAAGAAACTGCAGCTCCGACTTGGACAGAACCTATGCAAAAGGCCATGTTATTAGGAACGGACTCAAGATTTTATGTTAGGCTGATAATTTTTAAAATTTTAGAGGGAATGAATTTATAAAATTTTAATGGGAAAAACAGATTGTAAATAAAGAGTAGAAAGAAATAATCTAATATACCTTGGCTTCGATTACCCAGACGATGAGTCCTTTAGCTTCAGGAGGCAAAGCCTGCAGCCTATAATCAACTTCTGGAGGGAAATACCACCTTGCTATTGGTTGCTTTCCAACATGAGGCTATAATTCAATCATACAAATCAATATATAACAGGGAAAAGCACGAAGTTAATATAGCGCATTGATTCAGCATGCATTGCATACAGGGCAAACAGGATGGATCTTGGTGAGCGTAGTCTCTGGATCGCCGAGGCCACGAGCGGTAAGGTCGAGGAAATAGTAACCCTGATACCGGAGACGCGTGAAGTAGCGGCCCTCGTAGCCTCCCTCGTGCGGGGTGTAAATAGCGAGGGCTTTGTGCTCTTCCACGTCCGATAGCCAACGCCCCAGATCGAATTTCAAAAGATCTCCACCGATGAAGTCGACTATCCCTCTCTCTCCCCCGGCACTGCATTTCACGGTTCCACATCTCTTGCTGATCTTAAATGTCTTGCTGTGATGATCATTTGCAGGTCTTAATGGCATGGCTATTTCCCTTCCTTTGTTGCTGGTGACCCAAGTTGACGCCATGTGCTGCAAATGAAAACATGTTGCAGGACTAGTGGCCATTGCTTCCCCGAGAGTTCTTTTTCAGATGTTTGTTTGTAGTAATAGGAAGAAATCCATCGATAATGTGCAGATAGAGTGCGGGTGAAAATGTTGTATGGTGGATATGAAAACAAGATAAGAAAGCTGGAGCCAAGCGATCGACGAGAATGGACAAATGGCCGCTCCATTTTCAATTTGGATAAAACCAAAAATATTTAGTTTGCTAAATGAGTTTTAAGTAGGGGTTCTAAATTAACGTAGCCTTTAATGAAATGTTTGTGAACCACACAAATACAGTTGGTTTATTAAGTAAAATAAATGAGTATGAACAAAAACTTTATGTTCATTTAATAAACGAACAAACACGAACATAGGTATATTCAATTCATTTATATTCACAAACAAGTTTGTTTGTCGACTCATTTATAAGCTTGTTTATTGGCTCATTTATAAACTTATTTACTCGGTTCTCATTTCCCTTCTATTTTTTTTTACATTTTATACATTGGTAAAGATAAGGACTAAATTGAACATTAAGTGAAATTTGGTGTTCAAATTATAAAGCCTAAAGAAATTAAGGGTTGGTTACATAGTTTTACTATTTTCCATTGACTTGTAAATAAAAGAATAAAAAGAGTGTCGATTACCAAACATTAAACAAACATTAAACAAACAAACATGATCACCTTTAAAATTTAAATAAAAGATTACAAATATAACTTTGTTCGTTCAAATTCGGTTCATTAACACCGTAGTTTTAAGTCAAGCTTATCACACCAATTCTTGTCAAGGGTACTATTTTCAAATATATATATATATATTAAAATTGGTATTCCTAATATTACAAAATATTAGATATGCAAAATCATAAAAGCTCTAAAAATAATAACTATTTTAAATAGTAATTGACCTTTTTCTAATAATAAAGGTTAATTCCATTAAAAGAAAATGGTGTTAAACTCTTTTGACAGGTAGAACTGGAGAATCTTCAACAAATTTACTTCATTAAAGCTATAACAAAGTTACAAATCAAATGGACCACAAAGACAACAGTCTCTCAAATAAAACATTAAACCAGACTGATGGTGAAGATGAACATCCATATGCTTGGGATGATCAAACCAAAAGAGAGTACATTCCTTGTACACCCAACTTACATTGCTATGCTTCTCCATATAAACTACACTTCAAAGCAAAGGAGACCAGCAATGGAACGAACACGACACACCTACAACCTCACCCGGCCTATAATACTTGCAACATATATTCCACACTCCTCAAAGCTCTGCTAACACAAGAATAAATCCAATGAACGTATCGAGTTTACAGGAAAACTGACCTTACCAAACCTATACTTGAGCCAACAACATAAAACAATTCAATAATGCAAAGATCACCACCAGAAACTGTTAACCTAATATCTTCAAGCTGTGCTGAATTGATATGTATCAGAGAATGCAGAAGGTATACTTGGCTATGAAATCCTGGAGCAGCGTAGATGATTTCTGGTTAAACTCTCAGTATCCTGTTTTGGGGCGCTTCATCCCACTGGAACTAAATGGAGAAACACTGCCGCTTGGACCAGGACTCTCCTCTCTGAAATTCGAATTTAGCATTGCCAGTTCACGTAATTGCTGCCTCTTGATAAAATCTTGCGACTCATCCTACATATCCGAATATGAAGTTTAGAACTCGGAAGATGAAATATTTATTAACAGTTTTAACACCATAAAAGGCCTGCAAGTTGATAAAAGAATAGGAGAATGCAAGTCAAATTGTTCTGCAGCGCTATCACGAGGATGTCGATATTTGGCGAAGGAAAGAGCTCACACAAGCAAAAGAAGGAAATTTATACTTAATAAATAATGCAGTTTCGAGACAAATGCCTATATAAAAATAAACCATGGCTAACATACTTTCTAGATAAAAAATTGTGGGACATACCACAGGTTTGAGTAACCCCTCTATGATCTCTTGCGCTTGTCTAAGCCTTATATCAACAACGTTAGCAGGTAAATCAGCTTCAATCAAGATGTGGAGTGGATCGTTCAAGTGCTCGTACCCAGGTCTGCCTCTCAGTTTCTCTTCCTTCAGATGAAAAAAAAATGAGAACTATTCTCTATTCAATTTTAATGTCAAAATAAAAAGATGGGGGGCGGCCTTCCTTGAATTTAGCCATCTAGAAATTCATTGCAGCTTCCAGCTAGTTTCAGCTGAATCATAATTGAGACATGCAACACAAAACTAGTGGCAGCAAACCACGACAAAAACAACAATAGTAGAAACTTAGGTAGCGTTACCTTGTCTGGATCCTTTATTGATCCTTTGCCTCTAATGTATACACGGCAGCCGGTAGTAGCTTCTACCCGCTTTAATGAATTGCCTCTGGGGCCAAGAAGTCTACCAACAAAATTGAACTAAAAACAAAGGAAAAGCAGAGCCTAGAAATCAATAAACATAAAAAGGTTTGTTCATTCAATTGAAATCTCAGAATTTTAATCCAAATCACTAGCGCTTTTTATACAAGGCTTACCGTTGGATATGTATCAATAGGAATTTCAAGACGCAAAATCCTCTTCACTGTGTACGAACTAGGGCTTGCTGGAGCACCTTGCCAGTCCATTGACACTCTAGGAGGTCCACTTAGTCTCTGTTAAAATTAAAAAAATCAACCGTACCACAAAAGATCAGATGGCTCAATTCACTTGACTTTCCAAGAATAACTTCTCAATGCTTCATTAAAGGACAGGTACTAAAATGTTAAAATATACAGATTTAGAATGATAACCAGTTGAAATAAGACATATGGGGGGGGATAAAAATAAACTGATAGATAGCGAATGTATTTAGTGGGACTCTTTGTATGTCAAGCACTTTAAAATGAAAATAACATTTTGGAAACCATAGCACTTTCGACAAGAAATAAGCTTGATTCTCATCTGTGTTACTTAAGTGGATCCGTCTTTAAATAAAATATTGGAGATTACACTATTGTTTTGTTAGTCATCAACCAGGTAAATAGAGGATAGGTGAATCTCAAATATTCACTATTTGGCAGGAGCGCTTTCGTTAGTGACAATTTGGCCATTTTCCTCATTCTAATTTCATGAATTGACTAATATGTTCATTCAGATATGCCTAAGTTGCACATGCCAACACATTCAAAACATGAGCCAGCATTTTTACGTGTATTTCCTGAACAGAAAAATTAAACCTATAGTGTTCCAGATAAGGTATGAAACTAAACTGATATTAGATTTTATTGGTCATACTAAGAAAGCAAGGGAAACCACTTCGAACTTTATTGTCTATTTGTGATCTTTATTATGTCATAGGACAACAAGACTTAGATGTTATGGTTTGCCTTGGCAATTTTTGTAACATCAACATCATATTGGCGACTACCAGATATAATCTTAAAGCGAATGTCAGAGAACTAAAAGCTTAAAAGAACTCTTCTCTTCAGTTTTAGTGTACCCAAATTGTCAACTTACAGGCATGCCCAAGATATTGCGCATTTACAAGAAAAGAACTCAATCAACAAAGCAAGAAAAAATGTGGATTATATATATACTTAGACACACGCACACACATGTACAAAATAAAGATGCTAAAATGAATTTTTAAAATAGTTACCTCTTGAGGAAGGCTATTCCATCTGCTTAATCCTGTCCCATAAGCATTTGACATAAGATTTGAAGAAGCCATGGGACTGGGGCTTCTATGCCGCATCTGGTCAAAGTCGCCAAATCCTTGGTTGGACATCATTCCTGAGACCCGAAATATCTCTGCATATGAAGACAGTTATATACGAGAAAGGAATGGCATCATGAAAGGAGTATAGCATTCAAAATCAATTCAGAAAGACATAAAGGACCACAGAGGATAATGAAAGATTGTAAAGTGCAGATGGAACATTGACCACAAGTAAAACAAAACCAATTTCTGTTAATTAACCATTTCAAGGCAAGAACAATAAAAACATAAAATCTGCTTTCTGAGAACATCCTGCAGCATGGAAAGAATACACGGGGAGTACGTAAGCCTACGAAAAAACATTTATTGTGCAAACTAATCACGATAATTAGCTCACATTCTTGCACTCAAATACTATAAAGAATTTCTGAAATTCAAATACAGCAGAAGAATTGGTCTTACAAGTGCAACTCCTTTTCTATCCTAGCTTTCCAATATTCAGACTTTCTTCTGAAGAAATAAGTAAAACTCCAACTGCAATAAGTTTTCAAAATCCAACACTTAAGAATCTCTTCAAATGTATCTATGACAAATACATGGCACTTTAATCAAAAGGGGGAAAAATCACATAAGAACCCAGGTAGAACCTAGGCTAGGAATTCTTGATACTCGAAATGCATGCCGGTTGAATACAATGGCATTTAAAGCCCATTTAACAATGATCACGAGTGACTTTGTCATAAACAACTAGTTAAAGTGTTGAAAGTTATCATGTTTCAGCATTGGAACATATAGCAAACTAACAAACATTGAGTCAAGTAATCAAAGCCAAGACCAAAACACAATCAAATAGGATAAGCATTAACTACACTCTATCAGACTGATCTAACATGAATAATTTAAAAGCAGAACAAACCCAGAAAAAAAAAGCCTAGATCCAAGAGTGTGAGAGTAAGTAGTAACCTTGATTTAGCAGTCGGCTACATATCGGAAGAACTTGCAAAAAAGGTCCAAGCTTTTGATGCTCTGCCAACAGCTCTGACAAGTATTGACTGGGGAAGGCAAAAAAAAACACCCAAAAACTCACACAGATCAAAAAAATTGTTAAACCCAGAAGAAAACAAAAATTAAAAAAGAAAATTGAGAAAGATGAGCAAGAGTCGGCCTATTTTGATTTGTTTGGAATTAATATTGGATGAGAAGAAGGAGATGAATTTAAAGTTTGATTACCTCTCAACCTCTGGAGTGCTTCTAATTTGAGGAGAAGCAGCTACTGCAGGGGAGAAGTTGGAATTGTACAGTCCTGACATGGTTTTTGCCTTCTAGGATTCAGTCCCTTGGAGAAATAAAAGAACGGGGTTTTGATAAATAAATGGGTAAAGTATAGTAATGGTCACTGAACATTTCTGAAACTTGCATTTAGGTCCCCCAACATTTAAAACTTGTAATACAGTCCCCCAACATTTATTCCGTTTGTAATATGGTCCCCTAACTTAAACCACAGTTAGAAAATTAGGATAAATTATATAAACGGTCATTGAACTTTTCAGTCACTTGAATTTCAGTCCCCCAACTTTTAAAACTTGCAAAACAGTCATCAATTTCATTCTAAACCCCAATTTCTAAAGTAATTCAATTTTATTCTAAACCCTAAATTCTAAAATACTTCAATTAAATTCTAAAATACTTCAATTTAAGGTAATATAGGCTTGAAGAAAGAGTTCAAGGCACAGACACAACGAATAAAAATATATTTATATAAATGTATATTTATATTTAGATGTATAAATAAAAAAATATATTCATATATTAATGTATGAATCATTTATATTTTTTGAATATTTTATTTTTAATAAGAAATTAAAATTATTAATTATATTAGAAATACTCAACTTAAGATTATATATAATCATGAATTATAAATATGAAAAATATAATTATTAAATTTAGTTTAAAAATATATAAATCTTAAATTTATTCTTTTAAAATATTGTATCAACTAATATTTAAAAAATATATTAAATCTATCAAACAATTTATCAAATATAATATTTTTTTATTGTAAAAAATATAATATTTTCACATCATTTATTGCTTTCAAATTTTTTGCCGAAGTTCAAATCTCATTATTTCCATTTTACATTATATTCTTTTTTTTCTGGCATTGGTCATACTATTAGTATATGTATTATTGTATGTCTCTTAACACAAACGATGGTGTTAGCTTAGTGGCTCCACCCTATATCTTTCATTTGCGTGACTCAGGTTTGAGTTTGCCAAAGACCCAAATTTTACTTCTTTGTAACTTAATTTTCTTCTAATTAGGAGGTGACATGTGTCACCAATAACACATATCATGATCATGTGTTAACACATGTCAGATCCTGATTAAATGATTAATTTATTAAATTTTATTTAATTTAGGACCAAACTGATAGCATATATAAATAATTAGGTGGTAACACGTGTCACCAATGACACGTGTCATGATCATGTGCTAACACATGTCAGATCCTAATTAAATGATTAATTTATTAAATTTTATTTAATTTAGGACCAAATTGATTATATAAATAATAAAGACTGAATGTATAATAATGTCGATTCCTTTTAACTGCCACATCATCATTTTTATCAATTGGTAACGACTAGTGGCTTAGTTGAAACAGTTAAATAATTATGTGGTATGATTGATAAATTTAAAAGATCGATGACAAAAGTAAAAAGGGCTAGATAGTTAAGTTGTCAACCGAGTAGTTTACACTTTTATTTATACGTCAAAATAACATTTTATAAATTTAAAATTCGAATTATTTTCAACCTCTTTTATATCCTAACTACTTTTTTTAATTAAAAAATTTCTTCAACAAATAAGAATTATACTATTATATTTATATAAAAAATACGTATCACATGAAATAAGATGAAATTAAATAATAATAACTTTGACATAATTGAATTTAATTTAAGTATTTTGGAATTTAGGGTTTAGAATAAAATTGAATTACTTTGGAAATTGAGGTTTAGAATGAAATTGATGATTGTTTTGCAAGTTTTAAAAGTTGGGGGGACCTAAATTCAAGTGACTGAAAAGTTTAATGACCATTTATATAATTTATCCTAATTTTCTAACTGTGGTTTAAGTTGGGGGACCATATTGCAAACGGAATAAATGTTGGGGGACTGTATTGCAAGTTTTAAATGTTGGGGGACCTAAATGCAAGCTTCTGAAATGTTCAGTGACCATTACTATACTTTACCCTAAATAAATAAATAAATAAATAATATTGCGTTTAGTTTACGGAATGTAAGATTATCGGTAGAATAAAAGATTATTAGAGAATAGGATTTCTGGGAATGTTGTATTTTATGTTTGGTTGGTTTAGTAAGAATGTAAGATTATCGTGTTTGGTTAAAGGAATAAAATATTATTGGAATGTATATTTGATCAAATTGTCCTTATTATATATTTGTTTTTTTAATAAGTTAAAAAATATTTATATAATTTCTTTAAAAAATTTAAATTCATAAAATTTATATATTTTTTTTTATAAAATTAAAATATAAAAAGGTTTAATGAAAGGGTAAAATTTTATTTTAATCCATGTACTTCATATAAAATTTTAATTATAATTTTTTTTGTAAATCTAAAATAGTTTAAGGATAAATTTGTAATTTAATTTTCGTAAAATTTTTATTATTCGATGACAAAATAAATATATTTTTAAAAGAAATAAAAAATTTAAGGGCATTTTAATCCAAAATGCTGATAATCCAACAATACTTAAGGAAAGGGAGGTAATGACATTTCCGGTAATATACTCCAAAAAATATACTATTGGCAATGTAAGATTACAATGAATGATATTCCCGGCCAACCAAACAGGAGAATGTGGATTCCATTCCCATGAAAATCTCACATTTCCCCAACCAAACACACCCTAAAAACTTATAGTAATTGTTGCGAAAACTATAATAACATCGTTAAGCAGAAAAAAAATACAACAAATATTTTTAAGAAAAGAAAAAACCTCTAAAGTGTTAACAGCTGTATAAGAAATTTGCGAAAGCAAATCTTTAGTAATTTAATAATTTTCTTTTTACGATTTACATATTAATCTATGGTTACCCAAAGCAAATTTGCCGAAATCAATATTCAACTATTTATTACTTATGTACTTTATAATATTTAATTTTATTTAAAAATTTATTCATTAAAAATATAACACATTATTTTATATTGAAATTAGTCATGTATGTAATTATAATCGCTAAATTAATTATTAAAATATTAACGTAATTGTATATCTTATATAATCATTAGTTTTTATATAATTACTTGTATATTTGTGTTATTCCATTAATTAAGACGTATCAATTATTAACTTAAATAATTGTTCATATAATGGTAAAATTAAGATTGTATACTATAAAATTCTGAGTGACTTAAGTTGCAGAAGATAATATTGTTCTTATTGGAAGATTAAGGTTCAAACAGACTATATATATTTATTATTTATAAACTAAGAAAATTTTTGAACAAAACTTTATAATCACTCTATACTATTCAAATAAAAAGATTTCCTATGAATATAAGAAGCATTATAACTCATTGAGTCACCTTAGTGATTAAAGAAAATATTATTTTCTCTTAAGGTTATGGATTCGAGCAGCTGCATCTGTAGGATTTGTGTGTATATGTATTGTCAATGGTTAAGAAATATTATGAACATATACTACCGTATAATCATACTAGATTATTAGAAGAAACATCAAAACTAACAAATTCCCCACTCTGGGGTTTCAATCTAGCTGCTGTTAATACATGAGTTGTTAAGCACAGAACTCAAAACACCCAATTCCTCCATGTAAGCTTTTATAAACAATACAATCTGTTATTTGTTTTTGCCCGATCTTTCATGAACAATATTTCTGTTATACCAATATGTGATAGATAGTGATTTGCACCTGTACTGATCAGTTTGAGAGAACAGTGTGGCTAACCGAAGACTCATTTTTGCTCTTCAATGGGAGTTGGGAGTTCCACTCCTAATTCCTTCCTGCAGGACTTCCTTTGTGAAGGCACGGCAGGTGTTCTACCGTTTCAGCATATGTACCACAAAAAGAAACATTGTTTAAAGTCAACTTCCATCTCATTAATGGTTTAACAGCCTTCTTCGTTCCGGATCATTATCAATCTGAGACCTACGCTCTTCAAGTTACTCGGTATAATCACCACAAGATTGTACTCAGTCATGCACACGGTATAATCATTGTTCATAATAGCAATAGGCTTCTTTTGTACCACAAGAACGACCTTTCCTTTTATAAGATGTAACCAGAATCTAGTATTAAGGAATTTCATACGATTTAGTGTAAAGAAGGCCTAAATCAATCACTGCTCGAGAAGCAAACTCTAGTTCCAAGACATGCCATTTACTGTAACAAATGATTCCATAAATGTATGGTATTCTTCTGTGTATGTATGCATATAATTTCAAGTACCTTCACGCCACAGTGTGTTCTCGTCTGTCGGCTCTCTCATGGGTATGTTACATCAAAGCTCCCAATTCCCAGTCGTTTTCGACAAATTCCCATACTAAGAAACATGAAATCTGATCATAAAATGAATCACTTTCAAGGGAAAAAAGAAAAGAGATATCAATCGACTGCATAGACACATTGCAAATTTAAAACTCTGTTACAAACACTAGCAATTTTCTAAAGAGGAACATGGCTAAGTGTAGAAATTCATACCCCAGTTCAAGGAATCTGGCAAATATATCAGACAATTATCAATGGTGAGTAGTAAATATATAAACACTATGTAATACAAATTCTGTGAAGATCACATTGTTTGAATTGCAAAGCTTTAGAAAGAAACCTATGATTCAACTACAATGCGACATGAGATCAATGGTAAGTCAAATTCCTACATAAAGTTAGTATTTGAGCATGAAATTCCATTCTTTACGGCATGCATAAAACCAATCAACAATATATAATTTAATCATAAAAATATATGTTTTTTCCCATTAGTTTTAACTCTAGAAATTGAAGGATCCTTTGGTTGCTTAAAATTAACAAAATTCAAAAGCAGAAGTCAATTCCGGCAAAATCTAATCAAATGATTTTGAGGTATTTATTCTTTCAGAGAGTCGAACAGACCAAACCTAGTAACAAAAACTCTAAGTTGCAATCTTCAGTACACAAAACCAGTGAAGATAAATATCAAACGCAGAAAATTTGCAGAAAAACAATAATAAGCAAGCAAATAGATGGCTATTGAGGTATTCACTGTTCCACAGAGTTTAAACAGACCAAATCCAGGAAAAAAAATTTACCTACAATCTGGAGAAAAAAAAACCCCATGA